CATCAGACATTTGGAGGGTTAGAGGACCCTCGTCAACCAAATAACTTCTCTCATTGACTGTTTGATATCAGTCATCAACATTATCGGGTATAATTAGTAATCATATCCATACCTATTAGAGATATATCCATACCTATTACGGATATATCCATGGATAGATATATTTTTTTGGTTGCAACCCATCTGCAAATGTTGTAAACTGACATGATGGAAAATCAACATATCAAAACTATTTGGAGATTTGTTATCATTATTTTAGCTACACGTAAAAGGAACGACTCTGATGTTTTCTTAAAAATCAAGATATCAAAATAGTTTAATTCATATTTTAGAAGAGTCTAAACTATGTAAAAATTTTACAATATATATTTGACAAGATGTGTGGTGCCGTCATGAAGTTCCACTCATTCTAGATTCTATCAATCTTCTATGATATAGTTTGGCGAGGACCTCCAGCAAAGGCACCAAAGTATCTCTGTTCATAAATAGGAATTTTGTTGGATAAAATTACAACCCCAGTTTATAATTGCTTAAAGTAAATAGATTTTTTCAGAGGACATTTTTAAAACGAAAGCCACTACATCAAAAAACTCAGTGAAGGACAATGAAAATCACAACAATGACGGTTGTTCATTATGTTGAAATCGCGGCGGAAATCAGCAAATTTGAATTGAGGAAGCAGCTTCAGTTTGGTTGCGGGTCGGTTGATCGAACGGTATAGGCCAGTCGATCGATTTCGTGCACAGCACAGGATTTGAAACCATTTTCGGGTCGATCGACCTATACAGGGCTGATTATAGAGTTGATTTTCGTTGGTCTGGGCGGTCGACCGCGGGAACATGCTCGATCGACCGGAATCGGGTAAATGGGTCGTCTTGTTTTCCTGGGTGGATTTGGATTGGGTGTTTATATAAATAGGAACATGATATTTCTAAGGTTTGTGGGGAGATTTGAACAGATAATTGAGAAAGTTTTGAGCGCTTGTGAGGGAGAATTTGTGAGAGACTTGAGAGTGGTTGGTTTAGGGTTATATTTGTGAGATTATTGAGTGATTATGTAAAACCCCGAAAATTTTAAAAATATTATTATAAATGATAATAAATGAGTTTTATTATGATTGGTGATCATTCTGGGATGAATGGATCAGATTGGAATTGATTTGAGATCAATTCGCAGTTTCAGCCTCAGTATCGCGAGTCTACTGAAAACTGATACTATTTTATTTTTAGTAATTTATCTATTGATCAGATGGGCACGAAATTTGCGCCATTGATCTTAGAATGTCAAGACCATGTTGTGGGTAAAGTTTCATTGAGTTCTGACGACGGAGACTAAAACACTATTTTGATACGGTGCTATTGATCATATGGACATGAGGTTTACACCGTTGATCTTAGAATGCTGAGACGGTGCTATGGGTAAATTTTTGATGATTTTTGAGAATAGAGACTGAAATCCTATTTTTAAAAATAATATAAAATATTATATATATATTTTTTCTCTCTTTTTCCTGTGCCACCAACTCCTCACACTGTGCCACCTACCCCCTACCCTCATCTCTCTATAAAAAGGGACAGAGCCCCATGATATTGATGAAAAGACATGATATTGATAAAAATTGATGAATATACATGATATTGAAGAAAAGACTTGATATTGATGAAAATTGATGAATAGAATATAAGACTAAATTCCTAAAGACATGATATTGCTAGCTAGAACTATACGTACATGTCTACCGCTGGAAATACTGTTACTATTTTATACGTATGATACTATTCATACGTACAACACCATTCGTAAAAACTATTACTATTCATATGTACGGTACTATTCATAAATACCGTTACTATTCATACATACTGTGGTACTATTCATAAATACCGTGATGTTCATACGTACGATACTATTCATAAGTACTATTACTATTCATGCATACCGGGGGTACTATTCATACGTACTGTTATTGTTCCTACATACGACACTATTCATAAGTACTGACACTATTCATACGTATGGGTACTATTTATACATACTGTTACTATTCATGCATCCAGTACTATTCATACGTACTGTTACTATTCATGAGTACGGATACTAGTCGTAAAGTATTGTTGCTATTAGTAAGTACTGCTACTATTCACAATTAGTTATTATAGCAGATAGACGGGGTTGGTAACCCTGGCCATTTACTGGACAGTTTGGCCTAGTTTTATTTTCTGGAGTTTGTTTGCACCGTTTGTGACGCGATCGCGGAGTTTGAGCCGCTCGATGTTATACTTACAGTCATGAATATGACGAAATACGCATTTGAGTATCCCACGGGGATTATGACGAATTGAGATCTATTTACTTGTGAGTTAGTACACCGCAAATGAGACTGCGATGATACCTATTTGTCGATCCGCACGGTGATGCGATGATACCTATTTGTCGATCCGCACGATGATGCGATGAGTTGGAAGAAGTTCAGAATGATAATATTATAAACTATTTACATGAGTATTTGGCGGATGCCAAAAGTGTTTCTACTCATTGTTGAGATACTTTGCTATACGAGTACACGAGATACATATGCTGATGCTTTACTTTCCAGTTATATTTTGATTGCTTAGTTCAGGGTTAATATTTAGTTATTTACTACCTGAGACATACGGTATATACATGAGGGTTTCCTTGTTTGGATTATTTCGCTCGAAGTACTACGTCTCGAGTTGTAAGTTTCTAAATA